GCAGGAATTCCTTTACACGAGGCTGTTTTTAGATGAGAATGAATGTTAGAACAGAGTTGTCTCTTTTGGTAACCATATTAAGAAATGTTTTAAGTGAACTTGGCATGCAGTAGGAAACTACTGCTAACTGATAGCCATGCTGAAGGACTGACAAACCCACAAAAATATTGAACTTTGAAATTAAGAGCATCCCTGCGATATCTGCCATTTGAAATGAACCCGTGCAGCCTCGGAAAACTAGTGAAAATGCTGTCGGTAGAATTAAGCATCAGAACAACAGGAAGAAAAGATAAGTAGTTATAATTTTCCTTAATATAACTTGTTTTCCTTAATATAACTCCCGTCAGTGTTTTTTGTGCCGCCTTAAAAGGGAGGCTAAGATCTCCAAGTGATCCAGACTGTTACAGAAAGCTGGCAGGAGGGCTGGGAAATGAAGGAGTAGCCTGTCTAAGCGAGCAGAGGTAGAGCTGAGTCTGGGAGCATGCATTATTAATCAGTGAGCACCATGGGACGGGTCCCGTGGCTGAGCTTAAGGTCATGACTTTATGCCAGGCATGTCATGCTACAGTGGCTTCTTTTTGCATCTTATTATCTTGACATCTCAGGTGTTAATGTGCTTTTGTGCAGGAATCCTGAAGAGGTTGCTGCTCCTGTGGCTGGCATGAAAAGTCATTATTTTCTCAATTTCTTTAATTTCAGTCACTCTTCACTGATCAGCTTCAAAGACTATTAATATGCTTAGAACCCTTCACACAGATTGCCTGTCGGTATTGCATTGTTACTGTGCTCTTAGACTTTACCTCAGCTAATACTGTTCATTGGAGCAGTATGTTTTTAAGCTTGTCCTCCTACTAAATTACTAAAAAAACTGTAAGGCATTCGGGATACTTTTCATGCAAGAATATTTACCATTTAATTAACAATCAAGCCAAGGCAAAGCTTCAGTGAAGTGAATGGCTTTCTGGTGTTGAAAAACACTGATCGGTTTGTGCTTGGCACAGTTCTGAGAGCGCGCTAGGTTTAATGCATCTCTTTGTTGTTCGCTAATACAAATCTCGTTGAATACTGGGCAACGTTTTGCAGTTCTAAAATGGAATCTGACCTTTTAGTTACAGAGTTGTCCTGCCAACTGCCTGCCAGCTTATTTGTAAGGGTGCGCTCCAGTGTAAGGGCCGTACCTTTAGACCCTCTCTACACGTCACGTTTATGCCATGGTTAACATGTTGACTGCAACGTGAAGGGCAAGGGTGCTCCATGTGCATCCAATTTCAGGTGCCATAAAGTGACAAACGAGCCATACAAATGTTGTATGTTGAGCATTTCTGTGGCTGGTTTGTAGGGTGCCTTCCACTGACTGTCAGGTACAGGGCCCAGGTCAGCCATCAGCTGATGGTTAGCCCCAGCCTGGGATCCCACCAGGGCTGGGTCAAAGCCCGGGTGCAGTCCCAGGGCCTGACTGCGGCCCCAACCCGGGGGCATCCATCTTTCCACTTGTCAGAGCAGGGGAGCACTGGCATTCCCCTTTCACTGCCAAGTGGAAAGGGCAGGAGTGGGATCTGATCCCCTACCCCCAATCTGCACCTCCTGCCATGCGTGTGTGGCCTGGCAGGAGGTGTGGTTTGTAGGACTGGGGATCAGCCCCCGTGGTGCCATGAAATAAACATGTGCCAGGGGCCTTGGAGAGGGCTGTTATTAAGGGTTTTGTCTATGCTGAAGCTTTTCCAGTACTGTGCACCTTTTTCCACTGATCCAGCATCTGTACTGTTCCTTCCGCTGGAGACATCCGTAGGTAAGAAAATGGCCACAGGTTTTATTTCAAATATGTATTTAATTTTGTTTCATGTGCCTTAATTTTCTAAAATGACATTTTTTGCTTGTGCATCATCTGGCCTGGCTAATCACTGTCTTGGCCTGTCACCTAGTTACGTTGAGTATGTCCCACCGTGCACCAACTCCCACTTCATCCAGCAAATAAGACAAAGAGAAAGATCACTGGAATGAAAACGAGGTGACCTCACTGATTGAGCTGCTCATGTTCTTCACTGGAGTCATCCTAACATATTTCTAAGGATTGTTAGGGTGAAATATGATTGTGTGTGGTAATGAGTCCCTGGAATCCCTGCTACAGAGAGCTTTAATCACACTTTGTTGACTAGGTCAGGCCCTTATTTGCTAAACCTGTAGTCCTTTGCACATTTCTGAATGAGGACAGCCAATTTGGTAGATTGCTTTGAAGTTTTTTTTTGTTATAGTCAACATTTTTTTTTTTCAGAAGTGCATCCAGTGGTCACATCATATTCCAGGCTTCAGGATGAAGATTGGGTCACACCCTGGAGTGTGAACACAGAAATCAGTTTATCCAATATAAAATATGGTCTTACAAAGAATTGAATAGATGGAAATAAATATGCTCCTGCCCAGCTATGTAAGAAGTGGTCAGAAATCATAATCTGCTTAGTTCGTTGGCCTTGTTAATGAATCAGTCCCAAGGGAACCGAAGGAATAGCTGAAGGAAATGATAAATCATAAATGCACACAGTTATCCCAGAGGCCTCTTCTCCCCATCCCTTACCCCCCTCCCAAAAAATAAAAAAATCTCTGATTGATCCTGCTTAGCCCAGGTCTCCCCCAACTTCTGTAGAGTTAATCAGTCACACACACATCATGTGGGAACATTTTTTCCTACATCACCTCATCCTCGAGTTTTATTGTCTGCCTCTTTTGTGTAGTAATTTCTGATTTCTAAAACACTCTTCCTCTGAAAATCACTATGAAGGTGATTGATGCTCCCTAATTACCTTCAATTTTCCCATCTTTTTTAAGTGTGCGCCGGTAAGCCGACGTGGCCCAGCACACTAGAACACTTTCTCATTTTTTAAATATTGCTTCACAGAAAGTTATATACAATTCATTTTCATTATAATAATGGTTTTGCCTTATCTTTAACTGCTTCTCATTAGGTAACTCCTGCCAGCCATAACTTTGCTTTCAATTAATGCTGCACACTGTGAAGTTAGAAACACCTACTTGTATGAACACTAACAGTGCAGAATGAGAATCTTTTTATCTACTGAGTGAACCATTTGTCTGAGGGAAGATTAAACTTGATTAGAAAGCTGCTTTTAAAAAGTATAAAAAAAACCATTGAGCTTTGAATACATTTCTCCTTTCCCTAGGAAATAAGGAGATGCCAATGATGAAACTAGCAGGCTCTCTCCCTATTTACCAGCTTTTGAGGTCTTAATTAGCACAGGAGTGGTAGTAGGGGTGTTCGGCGCTCTAGGGGAAGCAGAACCAACCCCGAGTCTCACTCATCAGTCCTGTTGCATCTCCAAGAAAACATGGTCCAGGATTTTTTTTTAAATGACTTCCTAAAGCCGGATGCCCTGTTTTGCTATGTGACCACTGATGAACTATCTGTGAAGCACCCAGCCACTCATTGAACCCAATGAATTCAGCTGGGTGCTGAGCACCTCAGTAGGAAGGCCATTCATTTTTGTTAGCTGCCTGTCTAGGCTCTTGCATCCATAACTTGTGCTCACTTAAGAATATTCTCCAACTATTTGGGTTGGTCTAATAAAAGATATCAAATTCACCCAAGGAACCTTGTCTGCCTCGGTTTTCTAAAGCACCAGTTCTAGTCCCTGGAAAGGTCCCTGCCTCCCCTGTGCAGTTGTTTCATTCTTCACGTTGCCACCAAAAGAAAACTGCCTTCTCCAGGAGGGGACTTCCCTATCAAGACCATTTCTGACGTTTGTTTCCTGGTACCTACAACGTCTGCTGAGATTTACGTGCGGCCAACCCGCTTGTTAAACCGTAGGACCAAGCTCACGCGACCCCTGTTTAAAGGATGTGTGAATAGGGAATGTGAAGGTGTGAGATGTCGAGGAAGGCAGAGTGGTGGCAATATTTGCCATTTCCTTTGGGTAAGCAGAAATACAAACCACAATAAAAACTCAGGTTCACCAATGAACCTCTGTTTGCTCTAGGGGAGTACACAATGCCGAACCTCATGCTGTTCTTCACTACCACATGTATTCATTTCTTTTGACCTGACATAGTGTCTCTCTGGGATATGGGTGGGGGCGTTTTTCCACTTAATTTCTTGTGCTGTGGACTTAACATTTGAATAAATATCATAACTTAATGAAGTAATTAAGAGTCCAAATGAGCTAAGCTGACATTTAAAACTCAAGTATCAGTGTACATTCCTTCAGACTTCTAGTGCTGTCAGCTGGACTAATGCTTGGTTTGTGCTTTTGGCCTCCATACAATAATGAGAGACGCTTGTTGTATTATTTCAAAACTGCCGTTCTAATTAGACGTTAATGTTTAACACCTGCATTCTCAACAGAACGTTTACTGTAAATCCTATCAGCTAATGTCTACCAGCAAAAACTAAATGTTAATTTAATACGAATAACTTAGCCATCCGTCTAGACAAAGCTATGTGTGAGAAGAAAATAATTCTATTGTAAATTGAAATATTTAAAAAATGGGAAGAGTTTATACCTCGATGCAATCTGCAAAGGTTCATTGATGGAAAACAGGGAGCAAAGGTCTCACGGACATTTCAGATTAATACCTATCATTTGGGCACAAAAGCAAAGGTATTTTCTTTTAGTTTTTTGTGTTTATTATGTTAGAAAAGTGAAATCTCACTGATTTTTTTTTTTTTTTTTTTTTTTTAACAACAAAATGATATGCATAGGAGATGCCTGTGTGCTGGAGCTGCGCTCTTCCTCTGCACCCTGTGTAGGGTGCTAGGGCCTGTAGCCACGAAGATGTGGCCACCCATTGCCGGCACCCTGCAAACTATAATATAGAAAATGTTCAGATATTTGTTGCCACAGTCAGTAATTA